GCTTTATGAAATAAAGTTCTCACTAAAGTTTTTATAACCGCTCCGGCTCCTGCGCTAAAAATTTCTCTCTCCACTGCAATCAATTCACTAATAAAAATTTAAATTTGCAATTTTATACCATAAATCAATTAGTTAAGTTGCGCAGGAAAGAAATCGTGGAGAGCCTTCTCGCAAAAAAGGAGAGACATAAAAAGCGACTTGCGTTTTGCGGCAAAAGATAGCATTCAAAATAAGAGAGACAAAATTTCCATCCCAATTTGGGAATGGAGAGACGCAATTTTGTCTCTCATATTTTGAATGCTATTTTTTGCCGCAAAACGCAAGACGCTTTTATGTAAACACGGCATTAATGCCGTGTTTATATACACTCCCTTCCCATTTCCCCCCCCCCCCCCCCCCCACACGGCATTAATTACTACCCACACTCCCTCCCCATTCTTTAATTAAAAATTTTAATTAAAAATTATTTTCAAAAGAATTTATTCAAAATAAAAAATGAATATTTTTTATTTAATTTTATTTTTTTCAACAAATTCACTTTATCTTAAAGTGACAAAAGGAATGGAACATTCGCGTTTGTTTTTTTAATTGTTTAACTAAATTTTTACATTAAAAATTTAAAAAAGTAAAAAAAGACAAATAATTTTTAAAACTCTCATTTTTAGTTATCTTTTTAAAACAGTAAAATCTATCTAAGGAATATGTAGAAATTAGTTTTTTCTACCAAAAATTCTACAAACGAAAGCGATACTTTTATACCCCTGTTATAGACACCGAAAATCATGTTCATTAATTAAATATTTAAGGTGATAAAGGAAAGCAAGTAGCCGGTCCAAGTTCTCCATATAGCCCTAGCCATCCGACAACTCCAACAGACTCAATATTTCCAAATATGACGTTTTCTCTCGTTGAACTGTCAATTCTAGTTCGAATTTTAATTCAAGTTGATGAAGCTGATATGGATAAAGAATATAAAAAAGGGCTTTTGGATATACTTAGAGATTATAAAATCCAAGTATTGGAATCATTGAAGCAAGAAACAGCATTGGGAGTAACAGATTTGGCACAACACATACAATATTTTGAGAGAATTAATAGAAGTAACTTGATTGAAAATGTATTTAAAAAAGTTGAAAAGGTGTTTTCTTTTAAATTAAGAAAGATTAAAATCTATAATGAGACAGACTATGCCCAAGACTGGGTTAAAATGAATAATTTTAATTTGAATTTACTTTAAAAAGTGCAAAAAATTTTGAAATATATATTTTATTTAAGAGACAGGTATACCCAGTTACGTGTAGTGAAAACTTAAACATTAAGCGGTAAATGTCCGTTCGTTCCCTACCTGTCCGCAAAGAAAATACGAACTTTATTCCCCTTTTCTTGCATTTTTTCGTTAGGAAAACCGTACGCTCATTTTTCTGGGTCCCGGAAAATTGTGCTCCAAGATTTTCGGAATGTTGCAGGTGATGTGGGTGAGTCAGGGTGGCCCTTTTACCCTATTTATAGAGGATTTTCCCTATTTTTGACCTTTCCGCCCTATTTTTTCCCTATTTTCTCATTTGCCATATTTTTGCCCTATTTTTACCCTTTTGTAAAATTTTAAAAATTCTTAGGATTTTGTAAAAAAAATGGTTAAAATGAAGGATTTCTGACTTCCTGGCCTTCCAAAATCCTATTTTTGAATGGCTGCGCCCTATTTTAGTGTTTTGGAAGGGGCCACCCTGGGGTGAGTACTTGATCATATTCCTTACCAGGATCTGTAAGCTGATCAGATTATGTGACCCGATTCATTAGAATTTGATAAGGAAATCAGAATCCTAAATATGAGCATATAAAATAACTTCAAATGGGTTTTCTCCGATTTTTAATCATTTTCCAATTTTTTAATCTTATGTAACTATTTTCGGTACTTTGTTCATATCCCAAATGTAGAGTTAGAAGAGTAGAGTTAGTTCAAGTGGAGTTAGGTTTTTTTATTTAGTTAGTTTAAGTAAAGTTCTTATTAAATAAAAAAATAAATTTCATCATAAAGGATTTAATGATAAAGCATTAAAACAAATTGAGAATTAATTTATTGAAAATTTTCTTATTTTTTTTTATTTTTAAAAATTTTCAATTTAAATAAAGGTTATTCAATTTTATGACAATTTATTACAAGAATTCCAAAAGAAACGTAATGAATTAATATTAAATAACCAATCCGAAACCCGAATTCAATTTATCCATAAAAGATTGGATTCATTAAAAGAGACAATGACTGTGGATTATTTAGATGAATTTTTCGGACAGTTTGGAATATATTTAGATGTTGATTCGTATGACTCTGATGATGATTTAACTGATCTTTATGTTGAAGCTAAAAATAAAATTGTTAATTTAAGGTAAACTTGCGCTCTATCGAAAATGTAAAAAACTGTAAGCCCCGGACTCGAGACTCGATACCTATAAATAATCCAAGTCCCGACCCCGAATTTATTTCACATGACTTTATATATTTATTACACTCTTTCTTTCCCATCCTATCCTTCCCTCCTATCTCTACTTTGTACATTTATTGTTTCCGTTCCCATCCTATTATCCTTCCCAAACATTCCCAACAATGTAAACAATTTTATTCACCATCCGTTTCCCAACATTATCCCAATCATTCCATCAACTTTCCCAGAACGTTCAATCTGTATTTCACATTTCTCTTTTCCCACTTTTCCCAATATTTAACCAAAGGGTTAAACAACAGATGATTGAGTTCAGATGTGTTCTTCCATTAATCCCTTTTCCTATTAATCCCTAATCCCATTTTCCATTACTTTATTTTATTGAACGCTCAATTAACCTACAGTTTGGAAATAAAATGAATGATTTAAATATATTTTGTTTAATTAATTAAATAGAGTTTATGAAAGGCATCATCCTTGCATCAATTACAATATGATCAGGATTTAGAACATTCCATTCGTTATTAATTAAACTATTGATGATTACCATGGCCCCGGGGGAGGTTCACTGTCTTCGCAGTTTTAATTCACCGCGGACAATGAGGAAAAAATTTCACACTATGTGTGCCAAAAAGCCCTTTCGGGTGTTTACACAATTTGTACGGCCTCCGTGTAGGTGGGACGGACGCTTATAAAGGAGGTTCTCCTAGGCTTATAAGCGATGATGACGACAACAGCCTACCAAAAAATCCCCAAAAATAAACACACAAAAGAAGAAAGATTTATTTAATTAACGAATAAATTTAGCGGCCCGATAACAGCTCGGAGTCCGCGGTGTGAATAACTTGGTGATTAAAATATACGTGGTGAAATGCGAACAAATAATAGAAGTTAATTTCGCTCTCCTGCTCCCAGTTGAAAGAATAAATGTTTGGTTAATTAAAGAGAAGTTAGGAAAAGTTGTATTTTTGATGAAGTTTTGAAAGAAGTGCTTTAAGGGACAGCCGAGCGCTAACTTGTCCGCCAAAACTAAACTAAACCGAAAATTAGACTTCTGGTCTCTAGGCCTATCCAATCGTTAAATTTTTATTTAAAATCTAAATTTATTTTATATAAATTAATTAAGCAATGATGACGAAGATATGCTTTTTGAACTTTACAATGAATGTATAAACATAACATTAGTTGAACAAAATATTTTCATTCTTTGGCATTTATTTGGATTTGCAAGGAATTTAATAAGTTCTTTTATTTTATTTCAAAGCAAAAACAAAGAATATTATGAGAATTTCTTGTCTAATTGGAAGTAATTAAAAGTTTTCTTTAATAATTTTCATAATTAAATTTTTAGTCAAACAATTTCAATCTTCGAATATTATAAAGCCTACGATATATTTGAAGTTAAAGCAAATTATTTTATGTATTTATTAAATAAATTGGATATTTATACTATAAATAATATTCAATTTAAATACAAAGGAAATTTTTTTGGTTAGATTTTTAAATTGAAAATAATACATTTAAATTATTATAGAAAACATATTTAAATTAAACGCGTCCAAACGCTTATTGAAGTTGCCCACTATGGTCGCGCACTCTTCCACAGTAATTGAGTCCTTGGCCAGTTGCAATCCCTTTTAATGCCTCTGTTGATGTAAATCTTATCCGTAAAAGTCTCTGCTCCCAAGTATTCAGATATGGGAAGTTACTTGGCCAAATGTCTTTGCCCAAAAGCCTGCAAACAACTCTTTGCAGAGGTCAATCGTTACTTTTGTTCCATATGCAGGGCCAAAAAACATACTAATATAAAAGGATGCAGAACAGCCCAGGGCTGCAGAACAGCTCTAAGTATATTGTTCTGATGGACATTCGCATTGATTTTCACGTTCTGTTTATAAAAACCAGTGGAGTTTTTCCAGTGGCATGAATCCCGGTCCACACCACTATTCAAGATTGTGGAAAGAGGCTCTTTTAACAATTTTAGAAGCAAAGCCTTTCCTTGGAAGCAATTGACTATGATTTTGTCTGTTGTAAAAGACGGGATTGAACTGGCCTGGGACTCGGGTGCCGGAATTTTGGTCACTGGAATTCTGGTCACCAAGGATTTTCGGAACTTTGGTCACCAACTTTTTTGGAATTTTGGTCATTAGCGGAATTTTGGTCACCAAGTCAAAAAACGGAATATTGGACACTGGTGTGACCATTGGTGACCAAAATTTCAGTGCCCAATATTCCGTTTTTTGACTTGGTGACCAAAATTCCGCTAGTGGCCAAATTTCCAAAAAAGTTGGTGACCAAAGTTCCGAAAATCCTTGGTGACCAGAATTCCAGTGACCAAAATTCCGTACACCTGGGACTCAATTATTGTGGTTGAGTAGTGTGCAAATTCCGCGTGTATCTGGGCTAATGGAGGTACATTTGTTATAATTTTTTCCTCACACATTCAGATCAGTTTTCATAGATTTTATAAAATTTAAGAAATATTTGAAATAAATTTTATGCTTAATAAAAGTACGGTAACTTTTGCCGCACCTTGTAAATTTAAATTTAGAGCGTGACCAAATGCTGAAAACATTGCAAGAAGCAGAGTCAGAAGAGAATGTAATTTACCCTGCAATGTTTGCTCCTCTTGAAAAATTAAAACATATGGCAATGTTTTTGCCTTTATTTTACCTACAAGCTAAAGGTTTTTTTTATAAAAAAGTAATTAAAATAAATATTCCTTTAATTCAGTTCCTGTTAAAAATTCATTAAATTATGATGAATGTGTATTTATTAAAAGAAAATTGAGTTTACATCCACATACTTCATTGCCAAGAACACCATTTTATCAGTTTTATTATAATATTACTAATGAAATAATTATTAAAACAAAACTCGAAGAATTTGTTATTGAGCCATACTTTGCTTATATACTTGAGGAGGAAAATAAAGGGATAAGAGAATATTTAGATGTTAGCGTTGTTGATTTGAATAATCCTATAAATGGCAAATCTGTTCCACCTCAAGAACATACTGTGCTTCGTAATATGGTTAATTTTGTTCAAATAAATAATAGGGGTTTTCCCCGACGGGATGGGTTCACGAGAAAATTTTTGTGGAGAGCGCCAAGGAGGAGATAGCAGGAACGAGGGAGGGAGGGGAGGGGGGAGCAAGAAAGGATGGAGGGAGGGGGAAGCAATGGAGGGAGGGGTGGGGGAGCAAGAACGGATGATGAGGGGAGGAATTTGACGAAGGGAGGGAGCAGGAACGAGGGAGGGAGGGGAGGGGGAGCAAGAACAGATGAAGAGGGGAGTAACAGAGGAATGGGGGATGCACTGTTAGATCATTTTTAGTGTTAGCATAATTAATTAAAATATAAAAACTCATTAATTTAGATAATCAATTATGTCCGTAACTGCTAAGAGAACGTCATAATATAAAAATGTTTAGATGAGAGAACTTGTAGTAACTATCTGATTTTGATCCGATTCACAAAAATGGGAAATGGGTTTTTGTCGGCAGGTACCTAGTACCTTCCTGTTAATTTTGGGTAAACAAAATTTATATATTTTAAGGATAACGAATTATTTAGAGTTGGCAAATCCAGGTATCCTACTTTAGAAAATTTCGATTCGGCTACCCATAATTTGCGTTAATTAGTTAATTAATGCACTTCAGGATAGGTTTTACGATATAAAATTTAATTTACAAAGTCTGGCTATAAGCCTCTAGGCTTATTCGTTTATCCCGACTTTTTAATGTCTTAAACTAAAAAATTTTTTCGCAAAAACGCTAAAAATTAAGTTGAACCTTTGAAAATTAAAACCCCAAAGGGAGTATCAAGCATATTTTTTGTTTCTTGACAAACTGATTCATAGTTGTATGAGAACCCGATCCATAGATGTCAGAACGACTTTATCCAGAATTCTCAAAGAGACCAGAATTCTCACCTTCTATTTTCAATGTCTGGGAGCGTGGTTTTTGGCATGCCGTAACCACATCTAATTCGAGAATTTTTACGGGCTTCTCAGTAACAAAAATGGTCTAAATCGGTTCAAGGGGAAATATTTACGAACTTTAAAGTAGCTAAAAATTTTAAATTTATTTCCGAATATTTGAAGATTTCTTTGATTTGCCAACTCTATCAAAATTGTTATCCCTCGGCAAACTGGGGCAGGTATGTTTGGTTAAGGTTTTTAACTTGTTTCAGGACGGTGTTCGAGTCGGAGGACGAAACTATGATCGAGTAATGGTCATGTTACACCTCTACATATTAAGCATTTTAAAAACCTTTTCGAACATTTTAGTTATTCAATCTAGTTTTTTTATTTAATTTAGTTCACTTTATTTATTTTTTAGTCCAATTTTTTAGTCCAATTTAGTCTTTTTTAGAGTTTATTTATTTTATTTCGATTATATACATTTTTTTTTAAATTCCTTTCCTAGTTTTAACATAGTCTAAATGAGTAGTAACATTGTTGAAAGTCACATATTACTGTACTCCTGCCGTTTGAAGGGGGGAGTGGGGCCCTTACCATTATGGGACCAATATGAATTTTTTGTCGGGAGTCACCAGAGTTTACTAGCTTAAGCAATTAGGACCTATGCCAAAAGAGATAGTGTACCACTGCTCTACTCAAAATAGGTTCGCTTATTCCTATAAAATCTTTTCTGTGTGGTACAACGTACAATACCGGCCCATATGTTCAAGCAAGCAGCAATTTGTTTAGAAAAAGATATATTGATATAAAAACTGCTCACCCCACAACGGCAGGAGTGCCCAAATTACTAGTATATTACTATTTAAAAATTGTAGTCTCGATAAAAATTTATTTTAGTTTCTATTAAAAATATTCAATGTTTAAATGGATAAAGAAATTTAGATTTATAAATTCACAAAAGAATCTTTTGAAAAACCTTTGAAAATTAAAACCCCAAAGGGAGGATCAAGCATATTTTTTGGTTCTAAAAGTCGACTATACAAACATAAAACGTTGTTATTACGTTAAAAAATCCAGTTTCTTGGCAAACTGATTCAAAGTTGTATGAAAACCCAATCCATAGAAGCCAGATCGACTTTATCCACTCTTAGTTCATTAAAGTTAGTTGAAAGAGACCAGAATTCACACCTTCTCTTTTCAATGTGAGTGGGAGTTTGGCGAGCCCCGTAACCACCACTAATTCGAAAAATTTTTACAAGCTTCTTAAACACAAAAAATTGTCTAAAGCGGTTCAATGGAATATATTTACTTCCAGTTATCGAAAATTTTTTGTCTATTTATTTCCGAATACTTGAGGAAATAATTAGAAAATGTCAAAATTTTACTCGAGTGTTAAATAAGAAACGTCGACTAATAAAAATGTGTAAACTGAAATGAAAGTTGTCAGTTTCTTGGGTTTATTTATAAAATTCGAGTCTTTTCTTCAGAAATTCCAGTCTGTCCAGACTGGAAAATTTTTGTCTTTAAGCAAAAATTTTTTGTTTTAGTGATAATGAATATCAGATAAATTTTCTACGAAGCGAAACATTGTATAAAAACGGGAGGAATTTATATAGTGTCCACATAACTATACGACCACCCTATTTTTATAAATGAATTTGGAAATTTATGCATTTAAATATAAGAAAGATAGGAAAGGATTTTGCTCAAAAATTAACAACCAAAATGAGCAAATGAATGTAATCACATAAATAATCTACAAGTCCTCGCCTCCTTGTTTCTCAAATAAATTTCATTCGTTTTTGCTTTCTTCATCGTCAGCTGGAGGTGCTTCATTCAGATTAATTTTGAACTAAAAAGTTATTAACAGTTTATTTACTAAAAATTACGTTTCCATATATGATTCGGTGACCATGTCCCAGATCCTCTGCCTGATTATGATGAGTCTCAATCACTTCATGATGATATGCTAAAATTGATAAAATACTCCATAAATTAAATAATTACTCTGTTGAGTTTCACTTGTCATACTCTCATTTTCCTGGACATTTGGTGCAATTACTATATTGTCTCTTGGATGCGAGTGTGGAATAGCTTGAGACCCTTCTCCTTTTCGAGCAGCAATTCGTGCACTTCTTTTTATAGGGGTAGGTGAATTTCCTTCATGACTTGGAGGTTGTTTGTGTACAGATTTGCCTTTTGATGTCCCTACAGGTTGAACAGGTAATGCGAGTACATATGAAACTTCTTGAGTTGGTACTTGATGATTCTGTTGCGGATAAAAATCATTTAAACTTCTAGTTTTCCCACATCCAATTTCTTTCCAAAGCAACATAATTGATAATAAAACAAATTCGAATAAACGCATTTCAAAAATTTGTTTAAAATGTCCTAAATTAGAAAACCAATTTAGATATGTTTGTGTATACAGGGTGACAAAAAAGTAACCGGGCACTTATTTTTTGGCATAACTTTATTCAATTTAGAGATAATGGAATGAAATTAAGTTTGTATGATAGAGAATTAAGCAAGGAACAGATATTATCAAAAATTTTTGAAGTGTCATCCCTTTTCTCGGAGATAGAGTTGAAGGCGTGCAGAAAAATTTTAGGCAAAAGTTCGCACCACCTTGGGCGAGATTTTCTCTCATTGCCGGACGAGTGATTGCCGTATCGACTCTAAACTTTTGGGTTATTAAGAACAGACAATTCTCTCAAAAATACCAAAAGGAACAATCTATAGGATTCAACTACAATGAGTACGGTGGCAATTTTTGAGACGTGTTAAAACAGGGTTAATTGTAGAGTTGTACCCCGACCCCGTACCCCGAACCCCGACCCCGTTCCCGAACGATTTTTTCACGATTCTCCCCGACCCGAACCCCGCCCCGAAAAAAAGTGAAAACCCCGTTCCCCGGCCCAAAAAGTTTCGGGGTTATCGGGGTTTTATACCCCTAAAAATGTCATTTTTTGGAGAAATTAATGAAGAAAATTTAAAAAATTTCCACCCATTTTACTTTGCTTTTATTATTTTTGAAAGAAAAATGAATGAAATATCATAATTTTCTTTCCTTTTTTATTATAAGACTTGTGGTTGAGTGGCTTAGTCGTTGGTTTTAGCGATATTTTCTGAATATATGATTGGGTTCGGATCCATATAAAGAAAACTCTGTTTTTATATTTTTTACAAAAACAAATTATTGACGAGTTAAATTTTAATTTGAAAATATTAATTTTATTTTTAACTGATATCCCTTGAACCACCCTTAATCTTTCCCCCTTGAACCACCTTGATCTTTCCCTTTTTTTACCAGTTCTCAACCTTAACAGTTGGAAAACTATCGAGGTCCTGTTAACGGGAATCAGAGATATAAAGGGATTTGTAGGATATCGAAGAATTAAGAAGTTATAAATGGATTTGAAGGGATATAAGGTTTAGATTAAAACGGATTTGAAAGGATTACGTGAATTTAACGGAATTAACAAGGATTTCGTGGGAAATTTAAGGATTAATCGAAGATATCTCCTGATATCCGTCCAAATACCCTTATCCGCAATACATCAATATCCTTATAAATTACAAATATCCCTTGAACCAACAAAAATCACTCCAGATCACCTTGTATCCCTAGATATACCATTTAATCCCTAAAAATCCCACTTAATCCCTCTAGATCCACTTATATCCCAAGTTATACACTCTAATCCCTTCAAATCCCCTCTAATTTCTTCAAATCCTACTTAATTTTTGAATAAATCAACGAAAATATATCGATTTCTAATTATTTTTGAGCATTTTTTTCTCTAAAAATTTTTCCACTAAACCCCCGTACCCCGACCCGAACCCCGGCCATATTTTGTTCCCCCGACCCGAACCCCGCCCCGAAACAATTGGAAAACCCCGTACCCCGACATACCCGCCCCCGAGCGTTCGGGGTACAACCCTAGTAAATTGGCTGTGATCAACCTTGCACTACTCTAGCCTTATGAGCTGAGGAAGAATTCTGACAAAAGATCCGTTCCCTACGTCAAAACGTATTCTAATATACGTTTAAACGGGTTCTAATATACGATAAATAATTTAAGTATAAAATAGTAAGTACAAAATAGTTCACTTAAGAGAATGGTAGGGGAATAGCAGGGCCATTCTCCTTAAGGGAATGGCAGGGCCCTGTCAAGGTGGGTCTTGCCATCGCCTTTCTACCCTCTATACATGCCACTCACTAGCATTTTATTAAGAAATCTGCAACGTTTCACGCTCTCAGCCCTCTCCCCGAAAAGGCAAATAATCAATCAATAAAGTTTAAATAATTTAAAAATTAAAATTTTAAAAACAA